TATGCCGTTTTATGTGTAGTTTTTTTCCTTAGCCATAAGCTTTGAAGGGGAGTGGCTGTTGGTATGTATCCTTGCACTTAGAAAGTCCTATTGGCCACTGCTAGGCTGCTCTCTGCACAGGTTTTTGGATTGCCTCTCAGGTGCCTAAATCTCCCTGTGCACTGCATTGAATCAGTCTTATTAGATGACTGAAGTACTTGATGCACATTAAAAATTAACCTATCTCTTTAGATGCATGCAGAGGGTTCCTGCTACACTTCACTTTATACTCTCCTTGGTGATCCAGCTTGGTTGGGTGGTGTCTGTCAGCACCACCCTTAATTGGTGAGAGAGGTGGCTGTTGAGAGAGGCAAGCTCTTGCACTGCCTGGTGACAGAGCATGCAGTTCACACACACACATTCCTAAACCAAAAAACCCTGTTCTTCTGTTTTTGTGAAGTCATAATGTTTAGCATATGCTTTTCCCAAATTGGCAGAGCGAGGAGAAGGTGTTTCTTGCCAGTATCTCACTTTCTCTTTGACGAATTGAATAGATTTTGTACCAGGGTTTAAAAATAAATGTTAAGGCACTATAAAAGCCTGTTCCAGGACAGGACTCTAATTATCTCCTGGTGTGGAGAACGTGGATCACAGGTGATGCACGCATGTAGCCTAGGGTAGGTGATGAATGTGAATGAGCAGTTATGCAACTGAGGTCAGGTATCAATGTCAAACTTTTACTGGTATAGGTGATTGGAAACGGGTCTATACCTGTAAGAGATGAAAAGTTTTGGCACAAATCCTGTCTATACCCCTAACAGACAGACTGGTTTAAAAATGGCAGAACCTGGTCTAAGATTTCCCTTTCTCCCCTCTGCCCCGCTCCCCAAAGAGCGCAGGTGTGTTCTGCTCGCTACCAAACTAAACTACATCACTTACAAAAAACCACGTAGCTTAGTTTTGCCTCTGGCTTTTTGAATATCTGTATCTAGCCTGAATTTCTAGTTTGTGCCTATACCAGGCATGAGGCATCTCCTCTGTCATATGCCTGTAAAAGATACCCCCGGGATAGGGAAGGAGTGTAAAAGTAATGCTTCGAGAGTTTCACAGCGAGAGGCAGGTGTTGGTATAGCGACGTGTAGTGACCTGCACAGACTGGCCTTCAGGTAGCAACAGCACAGAGAACGACTGGTTCCCTACCACACATCAACACAAGAAAGAAACCTGACTGGAAAATCAGAAGCCTCCGAGCAGTCAGCAGCTGGACTCTGGGAGAACAAGGGCTTGTTTCTGTGGTGCTTCCCCCAGAGTGAGAGGAGGCAGACTTGTTTTCTAAACAATCAGTTCAGGAAGGGAGTTGTGAAACAGCCCAACTGCTGCCTGGAAGAAGAACACTAGGGAGTTTTTCATGCATTCTTTGCTTTTGCTGAGGCATCATGCTGCCTGAACAGCAGATGCCAAGTGTGGTCGAGAAAGCTGTTAGGACGGGGTGTAGAGTCAATCCGTAGCCTGTCCTTCACCCCCTCCTCCCTCCCTCCCCCCCCTTCTGTCTCTCCCCACAGTCAAATAAAAAACCATACACACCATGCAAGGGAGTGCCGTTCCATACTTGTCCTGGCAGACTGCAACTACTTGCGTAACTGCTTTAGAAACAGGCAGCCCTCCCTGTTCTCCCAGCTGGGGGAAGCTGAAGGCTAATCTTGGACCCTGGGGTGGCGAGGGCGCATTCTTCTTCCCTGCTGGCAGGGTCGGTGTGGTATGCAGGGCGGCAGTGGCAGCGCATTCTTTCTTTCCTGTTCCTTTGCAACGTGTGCTTCTTCCTTCCTCTCCTGGGGCGTTTTGCCTCCCAACCTGCCATGAGGTGCTGGAAGGGGTCTCAGCAGCACAGTACTTTTTACCCCTACCTCTTCCTGCCTCCCTCCCCTCCAAATCCTCAGAGAGGAAATCCTGCCATGCCAGCACATTCCCCATGTCAGAAAATGGAGTGGGAGGGGATGTCAATGTACGCTGTTCCTGCCCAAAAGTAACCTGTTTCAGAAGTCGCAGCATCATAGGGCTCCATAGAGCATAGATTACAGGTCCGCTCCACTGCTTCCATTTGTATTGTTAATATTTATTGGGAGCTTGAAAACAGCTCAGTTAAGATACTGAGCGAGCAACAAAGCCAAGAGCAAACTTTTTTTCAGAGACTTAATTTATTAAAGGCAGTATTGTCTAAACTCTAGTGCCTTGTGATAAGCACTGTACTAAAATTGTCTTGATCCTCAGAGATGTTGCAGCTTTCATTGACTTTAGTGGGAGCTGCAAGTTCTAGAAATCAGTCTCTTTTGTTGATGTGCATAGTTACGAACTTAGATGTTGAACTTTAGGCACCTAATTTTGAAACGCTCCATTTTGATTAGCATAACAAGCAATGCTCTAACCTTGTGGCAGCTTTAAAACAATCCCCTTTGACAAAATAAGCAGCTCTGGAACATATGTAGCATTCTTTAACATCCTTAACATTCTGGCCATATGAAAATAATCTGCTCTGTTCATTTAATTGCATTTAATTGTTTGATTCTTCATCATCCTTCACCTTGTGGCCCCTACCTCCCCCCATAAAAAACATGTTTTCTTAACTTTCCATAGCAGGAGACAAGATCAGCTTTGTGTTGCAATAATTTCACTTGACCCATAAAATTGTTTCCAGATTATCAATTTAGTAGAACAGATAGACTTCCAATTAAGTTTGGATCCAGGAAAGGATTTATGATGATTGCCTGAAAAAAATCCTTTTGTTATTAAGAGTAAAAAACACAGCATGAAAGGTTGTTAGGCTATTTTCACCACAGTGTTTTAGCACTTACTTTTTGTTTCAATGGATGGCTTCAAAGGCTACTGTCATCTGAGCCATTTTCCTTATTTTTGAGATCAATAATGGTGGAAATGATGCAGCATATTTCTAGATTTAAAATAGATTTTAGGTCTGATTAATTAAACTTCTTGATGCTCATCAAACTGCCTTTCTGCCTAACAACAGAACGGGATACGTGTTAAAGCAATATTGTAAAGGCACATCGGAGTTTATTTCTTGCTGCCAACTGATGGAGCCTTCTACACCCTTGTGGGTTCTGCGTCTTTAGTTGGGAGGATCAGCAATCACTGAAATTTCTGGTTATCTGCTTCCTTGAAGCCCTCTTGTGACTGTAACTCTGAAGCAGAATTCCCGTACAGCTCAAGACTTCCCAACAAACTTGAATTTCATCCCCAGAGACAGTCTGAGGCAATTTCCTTTGAGGTCTAATGGTGTTAAATGCCAGGGCCAGTAAACTCCTGTAAAGGAATTATCTTTTTCCTACTATTATTGTCACCTGTACCCGACTTACTGTTGTTCCGTACCAACCAACAGTGTTGTTTTTGCAGCCAGCTTGAAGGTAGTGATCAGAGCTTATGTAGCTCAGTCACTACTGTAAAATGGCACCAAATGTGCCACCTCTGGCCATTTAGTTTACAAACAAGTCCTAATTTCTTTTGTGAAAATCTCCTACAAGGCTGTATGAGGCATATTTGCTGCCGTGGGGTGTTATCTTCCAAGAACTTCAATTATGGACCGGCTTGAATTTTGGAGAGTTGTTAGCAGGTGCCAAATGGCATTTATTATGATTTCCCACTTGTCAAATGAAATGTATATAAAACTGCATGGAGGCATGCCACATTTTGTGCATATATAAACACTTTTAAAAGGATTTTATAAAATTCTTTTAAGAAGATAGAGCCAAATTTTCCAAAAAGGCATCATTTAAGCCACATGCTACTGGGTGATTGCTTTAACATGATGCCATGATGGTACATGTGTGCACATGACTAATTTTGAACTTACCAAAGTACCCAAGTATGCTCATCTCACTACAAGTGCAAATGCAATTACACAATTGCAGATGGACCTAATCTACTCTGTGATCCTTATTGTTTGATCCTGACTGGCACCTCATGGATAGCGTATTTGTTCTCCATTGTTTTGCCCCTGCTTTTTCAAATTATTCAGGGCATTTGCATGACAAGAGGATCTGTACAGTCTGCATTGAAAGTCCTCTGTCAGTGTTTGTAACATTGCAATAGTTTCCATACCAGACAGTTGTGATGTCAAGTGCAAAGGATTTTGGCTGGGAAGTATGCAGCTGGGGCAGATTAAATGCTTCAGAAACAAAGATCCTTGTTTTGGGCACAGTAAAAATAGTAACAAGAAGCCTAAAATCCTTAATCCTGAAGTCCTTTTACTCAGGCAAAATTAGAGACCCAGTGGAATTAAAAAAAAAAAAAAAAAAAAAAAGCAGAAACTATACCTGTAGCTGACCAATTGTTTCTGGAAAAAGATGATTTTCGATAGTTTCCAGGAGGCTTTAAAGGATCATATAAGTGCCTTTTTTGTGAGATCACTGTAATTTTATCATCTGTTTTTTGAGCTAGGCAGATGCCTTTGTATTGTCTGTTTGTTATCATGCAAACACTTTGTTTAAAACCAAGATGTGGTTAGCCTTCCTAACAAGGTATATGCAAATTGATACCCATGAGTCTTTGCACAAACTCTGTGGTATCTTTCTGATCCTATGGTAATCATTCACTTAGAAAAACAAGTCTGAAAGCAAATCTATCTGGCTTTAACAAACGGTTCTCTTGTCTTACAGAGAGAGGATGCAAGCCATGGAGAAACAGATTGCCAGTTTAACTGGTCTTGTTCAGTCTGCGCTTTTTAAAGGGCCAAATACAAGTAATAGCAAAGATGCTTCTAGGTAAAAAAAGAATTCATTAAATCTGTTTCTCTGTAACTGTTTAGTGATCAATCAGAAAAAATAAACTTCTGATGTAATAATAGAACATTGAATGCTCAATCATTCTAAAACTTGTTTTTTATTATCCTTGGTCATAAGCAGAGGGACAAAACATTCCAGCCAATGAGTAGAGGTTTAACTATTATTTCTGTTGACATTAATGGGAATAATGCAGCTAAACCTCTGTGCTTTGTGCTGGAAATGTACCACCTTTTTCACCTGTATTTAAAATAACTTTTTAAGAAAGCGAGCCCTAAACTCCAGCAATTTAAATATATATATATCTTGGACAAGGTAATTGTTGTTTACTGCTGATCAGCCTCACTACAAATCTAGTAAAGTTAATCCCTGAAGGTTACTTAAAAATCTATTTACAAGAAAAAATACAGCTTGGCAATGTTAGACCTGACTTTTTCTTTCTTTCTTTATTTAGTGAGAAGATGGTGAAAATTGTGTCCAGTAAGAGCAGCTTTGACAGCACAGGTAAGATCATTCATCTTTCATTGGGCAAAATATCCAGAAATACCCTAATTCGGAACTCTGTTAATACTAACAGCTTCTCCTTGGGAATGCCAATGTCAGCTTAACTGCTGTATCAGAAATTAATCTGTGGGGTTTTTTAGACGCAGGATGTGGGAATCAGTCAAGATATGTCTACAGTCACCGTACAGTGCTTGGTAGAGAGATTCCAAATAGCTTTAAAGGAGCCAGCTCAGGAACTAAAAACAGTTTTGCTGCTTGACTGTGGCACTCTGCTAGGGCTGATGGGCCCTGCCATTGAAGCACCTAAGTTAGCCCAGATGGAGCATCAGGCTAACACACCTACACGAGTGCTAGTATCAGTGTTAGCTTGGTATCTTTGTGCAGCACAAACACGTAGTTAGTATGTTGTTCCCAGAGGTAATGGTAAGGAGAGAGATTTCTTCTTTCAGAATGAAATTCATTCCTAGGCAGAGAGCCAGTGTAGGGTTTCAGGGAGATGCTAGACTGCTGCTTGCTCTCTGCAAAGGTATGAGGGCACAGGCAGAAGTTACATTTGTTGTGTGATCAGCCTCTTGAAAGTGCTCTACAGCTCTGCCCTTACAGAAGGGCATGGCTGCAGAGCACTTTAAAAATGCCTTATCGTGCAACCATTTGAACCTGATTACACGAGGGTTCAGATAAAGGCTCTCCAAAGTGGACTGCCTTCATTAACTTCTGTTAGCACATACTGGGAACAGGGGCTGGGATGATGTAGCCCACCCCCACCCCCGGTGCTGTCTTCAGAATGGGATTGGGAGAAGGTAGGTGCTTGCCCAGCCTGTGCTGAAGGATGAGGCAAGTGGGTTGGAGCTTCCCCATTGCCTCCAAGTGGGGAGGGGGTGTTGGTGGGGGCTGGGAATCCAATCCACCTGCTCTGCACTTCAGCACAGGCTGGGCAAACTGCAGACCAAGCTCCCTTTCCTCCCTCCTCCCCCATTCTGAAGACAGCACCAGAGCTGGGAGGGGGGGAGCTAGGGAAGAGCAGCCACTCCAAACTGGAACTCAGTCCCCCAAACCCCCAGACCCAACAGCCAATATCTGCCATGTTGGGGGGAATGCTGTAACTCATGGCAGTACCTGCAGAGTGCCATGAGTTACAGCAGGGAGCTTCATGTCTGTCAGCATCCTGAGTGTGACTACTGATGCCAATCTCCTGCAGTATGTAACCCCTCTCTAGGCTTGTCTGGAGGGAAAAAACAATAAAATTCTCAGCAGCTGTTCTCAGCACATCATGCTTTGCCTGCCTGACTTACAGACGGTTGTGTGTGGCATTGGACCTTGGTGCAGCTACTATGATGATGGGCCTTCTTGGCTTTCCCTTGGGAGGGACTTATAAGAACAAGCAAAGCTGTAGCAGTTGTAGGGACCTGCCTCTGACTTCTGCTCTGGGTTGTGTGATGGTCACAGTTTATAGTATGTGTTTATTTTTTCATTTCATTAGTTTATAGAACTGTCTTCATAGTCTTCCAGTTGCAAAGGGCACATAAAACTGTGACCCAGATGTAAGCAGTGCAGTGCTTGACAGTTCAGTCAGGCTTCTATACAGAGAGATATGCAGCAGCCACTAGAATTGTTGACACAAGTGTAGATCCAGATCTGTGCTTTCTGGCA